AAAAATTTACTTAATTATGAGGAATTCAACTTTGATTCCACAACGGACGAACAAGAACAAGCAAACGAGCGAATTCCACGACCTCCAAATGCCTTTATTTTGTATCGACGTGCCAATCAATCGTCGGTAACTCGTCAATATGGTAAAATTTCAAATGTGGAAATTTCCCGAACATTATCGAAAATGTGGAAAAATGAATCAGAAGAAGTAAGACTTTATTGGTATAAAGAGGCGGCTCGTAAGAAAATGCAACACGAAATGGCCCACCCAAATTATGTATATCAACCAAAAAGAGTTAAGGGAAAATTGAACATCCACCTTGAGATGTTCGGTTCTTAACGTCACCATATCGATAACACAGTATTTATGTATATGTCTCTTAAAGTTTATTATGCTTTCATACCATGTATTTTACTTCAAGAAATTCTTATATAATACTTTTCATTTAAATTTTCATTTTATATCTGAGTGGAACAATTATTCTCATCAGAGCATTTGCTATTAACTGTACGATAATTGTTTTTGTAGAGACCTCTCATTTACATTATGGAACATACATAGCATTTGCATTTACAGCTAAGTTACATGTACAATATACACACAATTCTTTTCTATAAATTTGATTCTACGAAAATATGTCAAAATAAAAAGAAAGTGTAATGTCATATACACATTTTTTAACATACATCAATATTGAGTCTTTTTTGGAATTAAAAGAGAAAACGTTCCTGTAAATGTATGTGAATCAATACAAAAATACGTGTATTGTACATGTATATGAAAAAGTTTGCCACTTCTGTAAAACAGGATCGTTTTACAGGTTTTATAGAAGTACAACATATAAATTACGCATTTTATTGGTTTTCATTACATGTGAGACGAACGGATTTTTATGATCTTTTACCTAATACTAGTAAAACGATACTTTAGAGATCCAAATACATGTAGTCAATAACCAAATTTATTATACGTTATACGTAACACAAAATCTTAACAATTTACACGTATAGGATATATAATAAGATTGCAGGAAAAGGGAGTAGTTCATCATGTGATCGATCCCCTTAAATTTTCAGAGTTTACTATTAATGATTTATAAGGTCTGGGTAAGGGCTAGAGATGGGCAAATGCGCGCACTATGCGTACTATGCGCATAGTATACATGTAATACGCATAATCTACATGTACATATCAAATACGCGATGTGAATTCATGATGATTTTATTTTCTATAACTATTATATACATTTATCAATAATTATCACTAT